GCTATATATTTTGTTATCACATCCAATCCCAGGGATAGCAAAGCAGCAGTTTGGCTGAAGGCGCAGCCTGGGATTATGACGCATATCTCTGGGAGGGAAATATGCAGGGAACGGAGGTACTGATGCCTCCTCCCTCCATTTTATAAACTGCACTTCATCAAATACTGACCTGCAGATTCATTTGCTCTGTGGTAGAAAACAAAACTAAGTTAGGTCCACATATGTGGTCAGGACAGTGATGGCGTTGGTGTAGAAACTTTCTGCATCAACAGCCTGACCAAACATGATTGCATTCGGTACCTCTGCAGCCCCAACCATGTGGAAGAAGCAACAACATCAAAAATGTAAATATGAATTTCCCTTTAGGGCAAGTCAGTTCCACAAGTCTGTCTAGTCAAGCCCTGCATATCTTCCAGAGTGTCAGGCATGAGGTTTTCCCTATTCTTGCAATCTGGGATAATTCTTAACTGGAAATTCTAGGGACTTGGATTGATCTTTTACAAAGCATGTGCCACTGAGTTTCAGCAAAGAAGAATATTGATAAAACAATAATTCCTAGGTACTTAAGCATTTTACTATCATGTATTACTAGAGATTACCTGAGAATATCTCCATCTCTGGCACTTGACACTTTCAGGTTCAGGTATAACAGGTATAATACCTCTTAAGTGTTCTAGGATCAACTGCTGCACTTTTTCTATGTTCCACTCCAAATGTTCGATTCCAAAGGGCACGCTAGTGTGGACAACAACAGATGGCCCAATGTCTGGTGATTCTGCAAGGAAGACATAAGAAGAAGGAAAGACCTCCACTGATGGCTCGAAGTGAGATTTCCATCCCATCAAAATATTAATTATAGCTCTGCTGCGTTCGAGATAGCGAGACTCAGCCAAGGACGCCAGCCTACCTAGAAAGTGATGAAAACACCACAGGAGGCATCTGCAATACTTGAGATAAATCTTCTGCTCTGTCCCAGCAGAAGGCTCAGATTCGACTTCAAGTAGTTTCCAGATGCAACAGAAGATGGTTGGCAGGCTTGAAGAAGGCAGAATTTTGGCAGCTGCTGCTCGTCTCGCTCCTGCAACTTCCTGACATAATACACCGTGCTGCCAAAATTCCCTCTTCTACTTGGCTATTAAAAGTTTGGTCACTCCAGCTTTTCCTTCAAAGTAATAAGACTAGCTTAAACAATAATATAATGACTTTTTCAAAAACTTCCTTGGTAACCTAAGTTAGGAGCAGATGTTACCTCTTTAGAGACCTGAAGGTGTCATTGCTCAGGGATAGATACATGCCCATCCCCCCCCCCCCCGGGGGGTTGTGTAACAGCATCTCCTCAAACAGTTTTGCTAAGCTCATGAATGTATATTGTTGGGGAAATGAAGGGTGCAGGAATGTTTTCGTGCACTTCCATTCCCACTGTGTTCATTTTGGGAAGGGAGAGAAGCTGGCTTCCCAACTGCAGAGAGGGGGGGGGAGGAGGGGGTTCTAAACCAAAATTCAGTTTATTCTATTACACATCTTATGTCAGAAAAAACTTTTGTAGCATTTCAACACAACCCCAATTCATAAATAGTGCACTTGAAGTTCTATAACGGATATACTTGGTTGCTCTGTCAACACCCATAACTGAAGGGTGGTTGGCCAGAACAACAAGGAACAAAACTAAATCCAGACATTAAGTACCCTTTCCCAACCACAGGGCTAGTCAAGTCTGTGATGAGCATTTGACATACATCTGATGTATACAACTAAGTCAGCCCCTTTCTTTCTCTCTCCGGGGTCAGGGAGGTCAAGGGAAGCTCGGTTAAGCTAGACGGACTCAGAGAGTCAAGGCTGACTAAGAGAGTCCCACTAAGCCAGCTTCAGATACCCTATCTATGTAAAATTTGATAGTGACTCCTGACTTCTGCAAAGTATAAACATTCCCAGAAGGCAAAAGTCATGTGAGGCAAAATTCATGTACCGGGTTATCGGTACCGCAAGGCCGCAGCACTTAGCAGAGTCCTGAAGCCTCCAGGGAAACAGAACCACATGTTCAATCACAGAGGCTAATGGCTATAGAAATTAAAGTATTATAGGTGTACCAGAGGTTTAGCAGAGAACTGAGGTGCAATCCAGCACTAATTCCTTGACATATATACAAGAGTTATCACCAACACAACAAGGGGACTCACCACTTGCCTCCTCTCCTCCACCTGCTGTGCAGTGCCACAGGGACTCCTCCTGCCTACCATAACACATAACAGACAGGACCAGGAAGGAGACAGGCAGGGAAAGCTATGGACACACATTGAGGGAGATTTAAAGGTTGGGGTTGCAAACTGGCAACAGTGGGCTACACCTGACTAAAGGTAGTGCTATCGTACCTCTTTCATATACTCTCAGCTCCACGCATTCTTCCTTTCTTGCATCTGTTGCTGGCTGCACTAGAATCTAGACTCTTCTAGCCAGCATTAGCTCTACTTGGTTTGTTCCCCAAACAATTGCTGTGAGGGTTGTGTTGCCCAGGAGCAACGAACCATAGCAAAGAAGGGAAGCTTCCCAGCAAAGTAAACGAAGAAATGGCCGAGGGACATGGTGCTGGTTCAGCAAGAAGGAACAGCAATCAAGAAGCTGTTTTTGTTGGGATGGCAGCAGGGAACTTTGTGTGACTTTGGCTGAAACTTAAACTGCTATGGATTTTAACACTGAGGTTATTGGAGCAAGATCATTCTTAAAATTAAGGGTTATTCTTGGAAGATGACATTCAAAAACACACTGAGCAAAAATCAGATTTTGAAAGCGACGGCTATGTTTCTGGAAAAACATCACAGCTAAATTCTGCGAAAAGAGTGGTGTGGTGAAGTGTGGAAACTGACCAAAAATAAAAGTGATATAATAGGATTACGTCTCTCTGTACTTTGTGTATTCGGTGCTCTGTCTACACTTTGCTTAGCATGTGTCTCATCTGATTGCAGGCACACAACTAATTTATCACTGAGAAATGTCAAACATGCTTGAATTTCTGGCCTTATTTTGGAGCCAAAATGTAAACAAGGCCTCAAACATTTGGGACAGTCCCACTTCTGTTGTGTGTGACCCCTGTGATACTTTAGAAGTGAACCTAACAAACGCGTTACCACTCAAGGAGGATGCTGATTATTTATCAGGAGCCAGAACTTCTTATTATGGTTGAAGTCTCCTTGCCTACCCCACGAGAAGATGGCAGACGCTAAATGGAAAATAAGCAAATAGCATCAACAAACCCAATTTGAGACAAACAGATCCAGCAATTGCGGAGAGTGACTGAGTGAGAGTCCAGTAAGGAGGACAAGACTCTCATTTGTGATCACAGCTATAGAAGAACAGGATTACCATCCTTTATTAAACCAGCTTATTATACCCAAGTGAATTCTTGGTAACCTTCTAAGAACTGCAGTAACACAACTCTATTTGGTTAGACATTTCAAAAAATAAAGACAAATTAGGCATTCCTTTTGTCAACCACATGGCATTCAGGTCCTGTTGATTCCCCCTCCTTCCTATTCTTATTATATCTCTATCATAAACCTCTTCTAAATGTATAGGCACATATTCTCACTCTCTCTTAGTTATGTTTCCCACCCCCATATGTTCTTTTTCCTCTCTGTGACTGACAATGCAATCTTAAGTGGAGTTACACTCTTCTAAGTCCACTGAAGTCAAAGGTCTGAGCTGCATGGGTTGGTATGTCAGTGCTTGGTGGCCATGCTACATGACTTTCAACCCCTTCTGATTTCTGACAGCTTCCTATTAATATTATTATCTTTTCCTCCGTATACCAAGTTCCCAGCTCATAGGCTGTGTTGTCTGGCAGTGAGTGGTTGACTAACCTACACCGTGCTTAGCAAACTGCTATACGTGCATATTGTTTTCTTTCAACAGTTTTTTTTAGAAAAAAACAGAGTGTTAAGGATATTTTTTTTTTACAAAACACTCATCCTTTAAACAGAAAGGAGAAAATAAATGTAAGAAAATATGTACATTTGTTGATTTCACAATTCTTCATGTAAAATATTCAGAACTTTGAAGATTCTGCAAAAAGTCTTTCCTCTGTTACTTACTGCCAAATGAACAGCCCAGAAGATGTTGTTTTCATGGTATTTATAAAAACATTGGTCCTTCTGCCAAGGGGCCAAAGTGCTTGCATTCTGCACAGAGGATTTCAGAAACAGTGAAATTCCATGATGACCCCATGTATATAACGTCCAAATTTTGCAATGGTCAGACTGGCTTTGCTATTTCTACGTGTCTTTCTGCCTTATCTGCTCACTCCCACCGCCCCTACTTGTATGTGCTTCTGCCTCAACACTTCATTCTAGCCCTGCTCTGAAAGGATTTCTCAGTTCATAATGCTGTCTTGCATACGACCTGGCTTCCATATTAAAACTCTGTGGATATATACCAGTGCTCTACCCAATTTTCATCCCAGTCTTTGCCAGGACTCCTATTTCAGCTTCTATGTGCTTGGCTGCCTTGGCTTTTTTCTGGCTATGGTGCCAAACAAACAGAACTGAATGTGTTCAGTAAGTAGTTTGCGAAAGAGATTGAACCAAGGCATGTGAGATGTTCTGAGTACTTACTGAACCACCCAGACGATTTAGGTACATTCTGAATCACTACCATGAAACTTGACTACAAAAGTAATCAAGAGTTAACTTCAACACCCAGAAAATGGGCTGTCCTATTCTGGCTGCCATTGCTGTAATGAAGACAGTAAAGTTTTGTGAACATTATACACTTTTTCTTGCATGGAGTGGACAGAATATTCTGTCTGGAATGCCATTATTATCAAGCACATTGAGGACAGTGTCTTGGATCATCTATACAACATTGCCTCGGTAGCTGATAGTGGGCTGCTCGCGTGATCAAGAAAACAGCCGAATAGGCCAGGATCAGCTGCTGCATGAAAACATACCATGGCAGCCACTTGATGCCAACCAGAAATATTCTGTTGATACTTCCACTCACAAAACCATTGGACATTCTTATGGACCCCAACACATGGTACAAGGTCAATGTGAAACATGAGGAAAGGTACAAGGCAGGCAAGAGCAAGTAGTTTTTCCAAAAGTTCAGGTTCTGTATCACATGCAATGACATCAATACTTTTGATCCTGTGCGCCCCCCGCCCCCCAAACATACGTCCTATGCCCCAATGTTGATATTCAAAATGTGTAATGGGTCATAATGCTTAGGAAAAAACCCTGAATTCTACCGGTGGTGGAAAGTGCTGTTAAGTCGCATTCTGCTTCTGGTGACTCCATAGGGTTTTCAAGGCAAGAGATTAATACAAGTGGTTTGCCATTGCCTGCCTTTGCATAGCAACCTTCAGCTTCCTTGGTGGTAGTCTCCCATCCAAATACTAACCAGAGCTTCGCTTCCAAGATCTGATGAGATGGGGCTACCCTGAGCGATCCAAGTCAGGACAAAACTACCTTAGGGGACTGTAAATCAAAAATTAAAGAACTGGCATAACAAAATGGCTCTCTCAACATATTCCACGACCAATGCTCCCTCTAAGCTGTGAAGTCTTATGGGCAAAAATTCTACTGTGAGTGCTACTGGCATTAAAGCTGTGAGCGAGCAATTTGGCTACTGCATAAATTAGTTTGCTCTGGAGCCATCCTTCTTGAGTTAAGACAAAAATGTGTGAGCCGGAGGCTAAAAAACTGTGAGCTAGCTCACACTAACCCAGCTTAGAGGGAACACTGTCCATGACCTGAGAACACCCATCCTGGGGATCAGAGAAGC